GAATGCTGTTTTCCATGCCCAACTCAGAGTGGCGTAAACAGAGAGGTGGCCAACCTTTGACTTGGGAGAGGAGTATTAAGGAAATCACGAAACGCTTGGGTGCTGTCGGTGCTACTCGCCTTCCAGGATGGGGACCGCGTGATCCTCACTGTGCCTGGTTGGAGACACTACAAGATATGGCTACCAACCGATGTCAGTGGCGTTCTTGTTGTCAGTTTCTATCCAGATTGCCTGAGTGAATGCCTGGAGGTGTAGGCACCTCGGAATGATTGTGTTAAGCTAGCACTAAGTCCATCCCCCGTCCACATTTACTCTTTTCTTTACAATAAGGCATTCAAATAAGTCATGGTTGTACGACAGTGAAGCATCGGTGTTGAACACTGATGTCATGCTATCGATGATGATGATGATGATAATGATGAAGCTACATAGCCATCATATGGGACGGTAAGCTGAAGCAGGTGGTGCAAATATTTTTGACTGGGTTGCAAAAGTCATGGGTAGTGGATGGGGGATATCCTTCCGTCCTGGAAGCAACCAATAATACACTATCGAATAATATTATCCAATGAAGTAGTCAATAAATTGTAATTGCACTGTATTATATTATTATCATGCTATATAATGATAATTGCAAATGTAAAATTATCATAGGGGCTACATACATGAGGTAAAAATTGATACCACAGAAGAAACCTTAGCATAAAACCTTTAAATTCACTTGCCATGATACACGACGGAGAACTAAATGCCTCTTAATAAAGAAATCCCCGAAAAAGCTGTCTTCGCTTGTTTCTGAAGTAGGAGACGATGAACGTGTGCAAACTGGACAATATGCCACTGTCATGCAGGCTTTTCTCACAGTTTTCAGACTCACATTCACATAAAACTGCGTAGAACTAACCCAGAAATAATAATCTGTTCAGGAGTAGTTCCCCTGAAGGGAGGTAATACCAAACACACATTCTCTTCAGCAAAAATCCACCGTGTGATACTGCCGTTGAGAAGCCCCTTGTCATGAATGACCCCAACTGCTTCCCCCTCCTACGGGTATGTTAGTAAGTTCATGTTCCCACCGGAAAAGTTCTCAGCACGTAAATTTCTGCTATCAGTCTGCTTTTTTCCACAGTAATTTCTGCTGCGCTGTCCTCTCTTGCGTCAAACTCTTGGTGAATATTTACCATTGCCTGCTACTGGAATGAGCCGGACCGGATGGCTCCAACACTTTTTGACAAGTAATCCATTTATCTGTTTTAGACAAGGAACCTCAACCTGCAAGTTGGTCAGCGAGCGTTTGTCATCCCCTACACTCGAGTGACAGTCATATGTCCTGTACACTATTTCTCTGTTCATGAGATTGTGTGGACACACCCGTCTCATGGACAGCTGAAATATACGGGACGTTTGGATGATCGTGTACTGGTCGACAGACGTGGTAGACTGCGAATTCGCAGTTTCCGCAACGAAGATGCCGGTGAGTGGGAGTGCAGAGCCGGGAATCAAAGTGCTCAGCTAAACATGCATCCGCGGACACCCGCTGAAGGTTTCCACGACTGGATACAACGAAATCGATTGTGGACCAAGGGGATGATGAGCGATGATCCAAAAAACTTGGCCGTTGCTCACGCAATTGTCCAGTGGGTTGAAGGGCCGTGGAGTGCCTGTTCCGTCAGCTGTGGAGATACTGGCCAACAATTCCGAACCGTTCGGTGTGAACGGGTGGACACGCGGTACTATGAAATACTTGATGACCAGGTTTGTCTGGACAAGTTGCTGCCAAAACCTCTAAGCAAACGGAAATGTTTGAAGAGCAAAAAATGTCCCGCGTGGGTGGTTGTAGGATCCGATCCATCTGTGGTAAGTGGACATCCGAGAGCAATGAAACCTGTTTCCTTAGTAGCAGTGTAGCAAGCTACCAATAAGCCTTTTGCCTGGTGTCAATTTTATCTAAGAAAATACTGAGTACTGAGAACGCGGAAATCAATTTGATGGACTGACCAGAAAGGATTCCGACGAGTGAGAATGACTGTCATTCAGTAGCTACTTCGCTCTCCAAACAATACATGTCCATTCAGATACGCGCGTCGACCCAACCGCACCTATTCGATTTTGACCAACGGTCCAATTACAAATGAAAGTTATTATAACAGAAATGTCTAACTTTATAAGACTTTTCGGGTACCCAAGTGAAACTCTATCAAATGCAGTGGCTAAAGACAACTACGTTTTACAACATCCCCAGCAGCGGCATCACTGTTGTCATCATCAAACTTGCTCCGTGTTGCATTTTGACAGAAGCATAGTTAGCAATGTAGAAAAACTGGGGGTTGTACGTACGGGAATGCAAGAAAATATCCCCAGCGATAAAACATAGTGACTATCGAGCTTTCCGATCGGTTGTTCCAGAATATTAAATCTGGAATTTTGGAAGTTTGCATAAAACTGAGAAAATTATGCTCATCCGCCAAGGTCTGGCTGACTTCAATTCCCAACAGATGTACAGCTGAAAGGGAGAAAGGGCTACTGTAGCGAATGCAGAGGATCACGCTTTATTTTCCACTTAAAAGTGCCCGATTACTAGAGCACATTTGTTCCCTAACTGGACTGGAATTATTTAATAAACGATTCGTTGACCGTTTGACCAACAGCAAAACACCTCGGAAGTGTGTCCTTTGATATCGACCGCTGGTTAACTGTGACCTATCTCAGGGAGCGGCCAATTCAACCTGACTCATTCGGTTGCTGTTCATTCATTTTACTGTTGTCATTCGCGTTTGTCTAGAGCTCACCGGAAACTCTCATTTCTTGTGATTCTTATGATTTGCACAATAGTCCGTGGGCAAACAAAAGCCCTCGTTCGGAAGTGGCACAGTAGAATTGACAGGCCAAGCGTTCAGAGATGGAACACCGATATGCATAGGAGCATTTGCTGCTAGTGATCATGAGCCGGAAGTTGTCCTGTCTTCAGAATAATCGCGTAAGAACGGAAGGGAGTGATGTGTAGACAGATCCTAGAAGTACTATCACCGTACAGGTTGGTGGTTAACTTACTATTAGTCATTTGGTGCTTTTCTTCGAATCTGACTGAAGACTGCTCATCTTAGTGAGTGAGACAGCCTGCTTATAAATGCGGTGAAAGTAAAGTGATTGGAGGGGAAGGACTAGAAAGAAGACATTCGGTGTGACAGTCGGTTTTTTGGTCAGGCCAAATCAATTTTCTACCGTTCATGTGTATATGCTTCAAATTACAAGCGCATATAATTACAGATCTTTGTAACCATGATCAATTTAGTGGGCTTTAGTGAGGTAAAAGGATCAGCTGTTTCTCCAAATGTTTACTTTTGTTTCGTCGGTGTTGTTGTTGTCCAGATTGTCGTTCCCACTCTTCACACTGTGATTCCATGTATTGGATTATTTCCTAATCTGTAGCTGATATGCACTCATTTCTTCGCTATTAAGGTTGGTCTTATTATTTTGCCACAAAAGTCACTGCGACCTGTACAGTGGTTGACCCTTCTGTAGAAAAAACCTCCTCTGGTCCTCCAGGCTTGAAGGAATTATGCCTCCTACTGCCATCCCTTGTGTGGACACTTGTAATATGGGGTCATACCTTTCAGAGGGGTTTGGTAAACAATCGGTGGATTTATTGCTGGGCAACGTCTCGCTTTTGACACAAAAGCGATCGACTGTACCCAAAAAGTGCAATACAACCACGACTGTACGGCTTACCGAAAATTCACAAGGAAGGTGTCCCCATAAAACTAATAGTGGATGGCATAGGTTCACCACCACATGAGCTGGCCAGATATCTAGCAGGTATCCTTAAACCACTTGCCGGCAAGTCACCCACACACATCCAAGATTCGTATGACTTTGCCAAAAAAGTAGCTGGGTTTCAGATGGAGCCAGACGAAGTCCTGGCTAGTTTTGACGTCAATTCGATGTATACCAACGTCCCTAAAGCGGACGCTGTGGAAGTAGCGAGAAGACTTTTACTGGCAGAAACAACGCTGCAAGAATGAACGCAACTCTCCGTAGACGAGATAGTTGAAGGCATAAAAGTATGCCTAAACCTCAGTCATTTTGTTTTAAACTCAATTATATACTCTCAAGAACAAGGTTTAGCGATGGGATCACCAATATCCCCGATTTTGGCCAACATGTACATGGAAGACTTCGAACAGAAAGCTTTAAACGGATTCGAGTGTCCACCAAGGGTGTTCTGGCGTTACGTAGATGACACGTTCGTTGTAATAAAGCGGGATAAGGTGAACGAATTCTTTCAACATCTGAACACATTGGACCCTCACATTAAGTTTAGCATGGAGCTAGAGTCCACATCGGTTACACTAGCTTTCCTTGACTGCATGACACACAAGAGTGGTGGGAAATTAAAAACCACTGTATACCGGAAATCAACAGATAGTGGTGCGGTCTTAGACTACTCCTCTGCACATCCAAAAGCAGTATATGCTAGCATAGCCTCAGCGATGTTTAGGAGAGTGAGAGCACTGTGTACAGAGGAGGTCGACCGAAGAGCAGCACAGCTCGAGGTAAAAAAGCGACTTCAAGATGGCGGATACCCAGTGGGTTTAATTAAGCGACAACTAAGACGGGTATTGGTGCCAACACCAAGGCCCAACAAGGAGTGGATCGGAACAGCGGTCATTCCATACAAAACAGGGACATCTGAAGTCATTAGAAGGGTACTGAATACGGCTAACATTAGAGTAGCTTTCCAGAAGGGGAAAACTTTACGCTCGGTGTTGGTGCATTTGAAGGATCGCCTTCCGGTTGATAGGACTAGGAACTGTGTATACAAAATAAAATGTAACGACTGTACGAAGGTTTATATAGGTCAGACAGCCAGGGAATTGCACACCAGAATCGGTGAGCATAAGCGTTCCATTAACAAACCACCGAGAAACGCAGAGGAATACCAAGCGTTAGTCAAAGATTCAGCAATGGCAGGGCATGCTCTAGACACTGGGCATAAGATAGATTTAGAAAATGTGGACATCCTGAGACGGGGTTTAAGATTCACACCACAGCGACTGGTGGCCGAGGCGGTGGAAATCGCCAAGCATCCCAGTGTGAATAGAATAGAGGGGGTAGAACTTGCAAACGTGTGGAGTACGGTCACAGATCAGCCAGGATGACACGAGGCGGTGTGCAATTATCAGCGAAATCGCCTGGGTCTAAAAGTACAAAATCCAAGTAGCCTTAGATCCAATTAACCAGCCCACCCCCATCCCCAAACTAATTGTCCCAGCACCCTTGGACGAACACAGGTGAACGAAATCTGTGAACGACCCCAAGAGGAATTTTCCATTAAGGTGTCCTAGACTGAAGAAGCAGGGACGAAAAAATCCGGGTTCATCATAAAGACGAACCCCCCTAACCGATCTATCGTAAAGCTTAGTCATCCCCACTAATCAACAAACAGGGACATCAGACTGAACACCCAGCACTGATCACGTCAATAGTCATAAGGAATCTCACGGACTGGTTCCCCGACTGCCTGAAAACCCAATGAACCCACTTACTTACTCACTTGGCCTGACGAAGCTTTTGTGTCAAAAGCGAAACGTTGCCCAACAATAAATCCACCGATTGTTTACCAAACCCCTCTGAAACGATGACTTCCCGATCGGTCCCAAACATTTTCCAATTGATTGGGGTAATACCGTTCACAAATCGTTTGGGTTAATCTGTACGCCGAAAGTCACCCTTGCAAACTAAACAACTAGCTGTGAATCTCGTTAGTCAGTGAAGCAAAGGGAACCTGTCAACCAATATGGAGGGTAACAACTGCCGAAAACAAGTCCATGAAACCTCGGTATAGAAGCTGAAAATAGATCACGCTCAAGACAGGCTGTCCTTGGAACGAACATCATTGTGCAACTTAGAACAATCGGGCTTATAACTTACCAGTGTGGTTCGCTTATTTGCTCCACTGGGTGGTTAGCAAATGGCATGCGCACATTTCTGCAAGTCTGCAAAAACTCCCCAGCCAGATGGATTGCTCTGAGGAACAGACTTCGTAAGCACTTGCAATTAACCGGCAAAAAAAGGAAATTCACTTGGATCTAGGTTCACGCGGTCGACTGCACGAAACACTTCAACTGTCCAGCGCATTGTATGCCCGGAGGAGACCTTGACTGCCACCCATTTGACAAGCTAGTCAGATCTAAAAAGATGCCGTTCCCAGTCAATTCACAAACACGCTGTCAACCTAGGTGTGCGCGCCAGTTTTGAGTAGCCTATTAGCAACACAGTGAATTGCTAGGCCTCTTAGGTGAGCTCTTCAGCCGGTAGGACTGTATTCTAAACAAATTCTTGTTTGCGGTGCCACAAAACCCTTGTACAAAATGACAATTGATCACTTTACGATCAGGCGCAACAAGTATTCTTGAAAGTAAAAATGAATTCGTCTTTCTATCAATAACCGTTCCAGTGTACCGATCGATGCATTGCGGTGGATCAAGGTTCAATCCGTGGAAACATTACTTGCCGAATCGGAAGTCAGATAGTGGAGGAAAAACTGTGTGACTCTTCAGAAAAACCAGACATGTCATGCCCGAATCCCAAGTGCCAGGTGGAGTGGCAAGTGGGGCCATGGTCACAGGTGAGTGAGGGTGGTACTGATTAGTGTGATGATGACCCTATTGGTCACAAAGATTGCAGAGACTTATCGACATGAATTTCGATCGAATCAATTGCTTTCAACAGAAGCGACTTGGCCTTTCTTTGACCTGAATTTAAAGCAGTGCCAATATGCACGGTCGTTGAAGGCTGGCGGCTAATTCAGCTCATTTATTGCTTTAACTCGCTCTATCCTTTAAACTTACTTCATATCAGACAAAATTAGGTGATCCTTGAGCAGTATTCAAAAGAATGCTCTACTGGTAAAATGAAAAGTTATGTAGGGGAAGATATCCTATATAAACACTGTGCTTTTAGACCTACGAAGTCTAATTAGCTAAAAGAATACAGACGCATCAGATTAAGTCGGGAGACTAGAACAACACTGGCTACGTTTTTCTATGCTCATAATGCCCGGTCACGTGCGAAGACGGAGTATTGCATCGCGTTTGGAGTGAATCCAAATGGTGATTGCGTCATCCCAATTACCTTTGGAGATTTCAAACAACCCAACAATCAACCAGTTGAAAGATTTGGCTCTCAGAAAGGCCAGCAAGTTGCCAATCTCAAGGATTATAAACAGAGAAGGAGTGCAATTTCTGAAGTTACAGATGGGTAGATTTTCGCGCAAGATAATTTTCTAAAAACCAACTCATTTTAGGAAGACTTCTCATGGTTTCCAGTGAGGCTTGTCGATAGGCTTTGTGATCCCACATATTTCTGACAGTTTGCAAACATGCACTGACATGTCTACTTCACTACGTGCTGCCTGAGGAACTGAAAAGGATTATCGACTAGGAAAAGACGATTGAATTGTTCGATCATTAGTTAGAGCTGTTCAAATTCTTGTCCAAGTACACATACACGTGAAAGCGAAGCGATTCTCATTGTGTTCTCATGTTTGTATACACCCACTTGCATTCATTCATTCATTCATTCATCCATTCATTCCAGACAGTAGTCGCTACAATATATTGTGTATTCCCCCCCCCCAGAAAATCCCATGTTGTTTTTATCCTTGGGTTTAGGGAAGTTGTTGTAATTAAACTTCTCTGATAGAATTAAAAGAGAACAGAAAATTATTGGTGGGATCAGAATGTATGACAGTTGTCCCATACTTCGTTGGCCGCCCACGATGACAGCTGCTGTGTCCGGCAAATGGGTACAGATGTACTCGCGATCAGCTGATCAGTTAGCCGACCGAAACCGATAAACTGGGCTTGCGATAGTTTGCTTGGGTAAGCTCAGTTGTCCAAATTCACCAGAGATGTTTATGAGTGATGCTCTGAACAAGGACGCGCGGGCAAACGGTGGTCGTGCAGCTCATTATATGAACCTATCGAAATTTAAGGGTGGTTGAAATAATAAAACTACTAAAATCAAATATTTAGTGGGGATGTATCTGGAGGTTTCACTGAGGATTTCAAGATGTTACTGATTCGGAAATCAGGCACAGACAGCAACCTTGTGCTCGTCACCAGCTTCGGTCCATTCTTCCATTTTAAAAAGTTGTTGGTGCACACCGACGGTCTCTTCAAATGGTGGAAAGTGATTGCGATTCACTTACCAAGCTCGACGAAAAAGTCAACCACTGATATCTTTGCTCGTCAGGACGCTTTCTGTTGCTTCACCTAGTAAACTGGAAGCAGTCATTATAAAGGGCGCATTTATACCACTACTACAAACCAACCAGTTTTACTTCGATTAGTCTGTTTGAAGTTCTTTGAATAAGATTCGAAAATAGTTTGTCACATGGATTTTCCGTTTTGTTCAACTCGCCGTTCAACCAAGAGCACTGATCGATTAGGTTCCCTCATCCGTCGGTTTCTTGCTTGAGCATCTTTCTCTCACTTGTGTGGGTTTCACACACCTTTGGGATCGCGGTAAACGCCCACCCCCGCACTAAATCGTGGTGATTTGCTTGCTCCATGGGACATCTTTCCTATATAATAAACTGAGTTCTAGACTCCTAAAGAGGAACCCTAGGGAAGAGGGATCATAAAACACAGGGAGTAAGTAAAATTGGGGCCACATATCACTCTTATCTAGAATGTTTTGGTTACCTCCATAGTTTTATCAACACTAATGTTGTCTCATTCGGTTGAACGTTTTAAAAACCTGCAGATTGTTTTTGTTATTAATAGGAGAACTATGATGGAGGATTTATTTCTCGAAATAACCTTCAGGAAAGCACTGGTTGATATTTGATAATCAAATTTCCTGGGTTCCACACGACCGGTACTGAAATCCACCTGATACTGAAGTTCTTTTCATTTCATTGTCGTGTTTAACAAGCCCCGTTATCCACAGGTTTTTTCTGACTAGTTGATACAGCTCACTCATCGAGAATTTTACAAATAGGAAGATGTCTATCAGTTTACTTTGTCCACGTTTGGAAATTGCATTGCCACATGTATAGCGTTTGCTTCCTGATTTTCCGCTTGCTAACTCATCAATTACTTACGTCAGACTAATTCTGCGCGATCCCATTCACTCAACCATTCCATCATCACCGTATTCCAGATTCAGATCTGCTTATCGGTGTGATCATCTGACCATGGATACCTAGGTTCTCACGTAATAACAAAATACTAACTGTTGGACTGCAACGGCTGACTGTTGGTACATGAACTGTATATGGCCTGCGAAAAAAGAGAACTACTGTACAAAAGTGCAGTAAGATTAAATATGAATATCCGCTCGTTCGTAGCTCGGTAACAGTAAAACAGGTTACAGATGATCCGGAAACCTCTGACCGTTCGCTGCTACCACCTTAAAAGGTCACTTTAAGCAGATGTTCGTATTCCCGTTGGGATGGTGTCTGTCTCGAGGGTGATTTATCGGAAGATGATGCATGTCAGAGATGACAGTTGTAACGACTAGCATAGCGGTAACCCACCGAACAGATCAAATCGTGTCAGGAAAGGAATATTCATGCAGCAGCAACAGAACCGGTCATCTAGCGGAACAGTCAATCAATTATTCTCCCAGTGGAACATTTCCCCTCGGAGTGCGAAGATAAATCCTCTTCAATTTTTGAACGCACCGGTGTCTCTTTTCCGAAGACGGTGTGAAGGAATATTGCATTTGCTTTTTTCCCCGCATCAAACCGCCACCATTACTTTGACCTTTACAGTTCTTCTGATTGAAGAGGTCTCCCTTCTATGGTGTCTCCCACTTCAACACCGAACGTATGACATTTTTTCTATGTCAGATAACGCGCTATATTGAAAAAAACCTGTTTTCTTATCGTTTTCAGGTTGTAACTACTCGTAAGGGTAAAATCAGACTAACATTTCTTTGACGGGACCTGGAATTAGCACACAAAGCTAATTCTTTTTGTGACATGCTGGTCTGACTAGAAAATGTAAATACTTTGCCCTTGGTAGTGTAACTTTTACCTCGGTCCTCACAAAACTCAGACAGCCAGGCCAGAAATCTTTGTAATAGTTTGCCCGTTGTCCTCTTCTGCCGCCAATTTACAGTCATATTAACGTTGTTACCGGTAACGAAAATTTCAGGCAGCCGGAGAAATCCCTTTCACATGTCCTATTCCCGAAAAACCGCCCATCTTGTTGATCTTATAGTGTTCAAAACTTTGTGGTGGCGTTGGTGTTCGCGCCCGACAGCTGACGTGCACCTGGGTTCACGACAAGCAGCCGGCAGGTCCTCTGTGTTATGCGAACCAGTTGCCAAGCCCACCGGTAATCGAGGAGTGCGAAGCTCCACCTTGCAAATTCGGTATGTTTCTTTTCTGCGTCTTTTCTTAAACCATGCATGAATACGAACAAATCCACCACACTGTTTGAAAACAACACCTGACGAGATGGGTGGGATATGGAGAAAATATGTCATGTAAAGAACGAGATGTCGGTTTCGGCAAAGGTGGAACTAATTGGACGTCTGGCTGCTTGTCCAGACCTGGGATCAATGCAAATGATTTTAGGGGAAACTAACAGAATTTAACAGGAATGTTCGCCTTTGTACAGTTAATGCAGCAAAAGTTTTTTTGCTAAACTGAACAGGTTTTGTTCACACCATGGGCAAGTTGTTCCCAAGAGAATCGGATTTGAGCAAATCCGTGTGTGTATTTTCGCCTTTTACCAGAAGTTCAGGAAAAATTAAAGCTTAGTTTCCAGCGCTAATTTGGATTCAAACATTAGCCCTTGTTAGGTGTCAATACACTCGATGAGTGTTCCGATGAACCTGACCAGACCACCATCACCAAGAGTGGGCTAGAAGTAACCATCTGCTGACGAAAGATGAAAGCACATTTATACACGTGATATACTACTCATAAGTTTGCTGAAAATTTTTCGACAGTCCACGACCGGTTTCGCCCTTCTTAGGGCTCATGAGGTAGGCGCAGTCCCCGAGATTCCGTCAACCTTGAATTCTACTTGAAACCGAATTTCGCGGAATTAGGGAGATACACTCTTTTCAAACAAATTTGGTTTTCCGAGAAACTCACCTGAAACCCAGCTGAGTCTCTCGTTTACGATGTTATGATATTATAACAGAGCATATAGTGATATAGTGACAGAGCCATATGTGTTTATTGTTGCGCAAGTGGGTGTGATTCGGACGGCTAGGAAGGCATGTGAGTGTTGAAGAAATTAGCTCCACTATCCTGATAACTTCGGAGCTATAGATCGTTGGTGGTGTATTCTCTGTCTAACTATATTGTACGTGAGATGGGCGTGAAAGCTACGCAGGTCAACTTCGATGAGGGAGGTAATTTATAGAGAGATAAGATGAATTCGTCCGGTTAGATTTCATGGATCAAGCGATAAGAAATCTTGCACATACAAAGGACACTGAGATCTGGATAGATAGAGGATAAGATAGATAGATAGATAGATAGATAGATAGATAGATAGATAGATAGATAGATAGATAGATAGATAGATAGATAGATAGATAATAGATAGATAGATAGATAGATAGACAAGTGCTTAGGTAGTTGAGCTGTTAGGGGTGTTGTTGGCTAAAGAATTAGGAAGATTTCACCGGATATTTACTGAATGGTGGGATCAAAAACTACATCCTTAACAAATGCTTTTATTAGTGCAAAGTTCTTGGTCAGTTAAATGGATAGGGCTATCATTACCTGAATTCTTAATGCCTCTGGTTGAGTGGAATACCGGCCTTAAAACCTGGTTCAACGTGAAGGAAGCACGGACATGAGAATTTTTAGAAACATCCCAACAGCGGTTAAAAACGGTTGCTAGTAGAAGCTCCAGACGATAGTGCGTCCTTCCGTCGACACGAGAGCAGCGTTCAGTTGCTGAAAACAAGCAGCCGTTTAGGTGCAACTGAACAACTAATACAACTAGTGTTCTCTATAGAGGAGAATGTCGGTAGCTCAGGTAGCGTAGATGGTCGTTGGCTTGTTCGCTGAACTGGGCAATTTGATTGCAAGCGTTTCATCGCCAATCGAGGCAACATCAACAGTGCGTAGTTGTGCGTAGCGGTGGGTTAGTGGTTGTGCAATCAAATTGCAATCAAATTGCCCAGTTCAGCGAACAAGCCAACGACCACAACCAGTGTTGTTTACTGACGTCTTGCATGCAGCAGATCTAGTGCCTCTCAGCCACAAGCTGGCTACCAATCCGTTTTACATCCAAACTGTGGGACACATGTGCTGAAGAACTGCGGCAACCGTTGATCCACGTTTCAGAACCTCTTCACTGCTGTGTATTTCTGGCTCGGTTATAAAGTGGAATGAATTATTTTCGATTGCTCTACACATCAAAATTACCGTCAAAAATTTATCTACAGCTCAATCTGAGCAAAATACTACCCGAAGATCGACTTCCAACAGGCTATTTGCATTGAGAGACGTCAAACACCCTCTGAACATTACGTGAACGTTAACAATAGATAAGATGCGCACCGGTGATACCAACTAGACTGTAAAAGACAATCGTCAACAAGCACCTGATCAGTAGCTCGCAAAGCGCGTCCCACAGAAATAACACGAAATAGTTGACAGCTTCATCGCAGAAGGTTGTCATCCAGGCGTGTTCGACAGCGCTTCCGACAAAAGAAGTGGATTATTTCTGGGCCCTACATTTCATAAGCTCTCTGAAGCCGTTCAGGTCAGCAAGCACCTGATCAGCAGCTCGCAAAGCGCGTCCCACAGAAATAACATTAAATAGTTGACAGCTTCATCGCAGAAGGTTGTCATCCAGGCGTGTTCGACAGCGCTTCCGACAAAAGAAGTGGATTATTTCTGGGCCCTACATTTCATAAGCTCTCTGAAGCCGTTCAGGGTTTCTTTCACATCCACTGACTTGAATCCCAAGCTATCTGTTATTTCCAACACTGTAGTCGTGGGTGCATTAACTGTTGCAGAACCATTTGATTCGGTCCTGGTTTTTACCAGTTGTTGCTTCTGTATGTGTTGTCTGTTTGAAACGTTGTCGGTTGTTTGGATAACGTTTGATGAGCACTTTTTAATGTGTGATATTTTATTTGTCTCGCTTCTTTTCACAGAATGCGTTGACTTCTCAAAGTACTGCCCGACCCGGACCGAATTGTGCAAGTTTACCTTGTACCGTTACCAGTGCTGTGCAACCTGTCGAAATTTCGCTTTTGGTCTTCAGTCTGCGGACAAATCGAACCTCGTCGATCGATCATAGCCACAAGTAAATCGATCCGGTTGGACCAACTGGCAGACTAACTAGCAGAGCGAGATGAGCAGGCATCGAGTGATAAGCAGACAAACATTTACACGTACGGACAGACAACAAACAGAGACACACAAGCAGAGGCACACTCAGGAGTATTTCCACAAATGACCGGTCAATGCCAAGCTTCACATCCTTCGTTTACATGCGCTTGCCACGTTCATTCGCGCCAAGTTTAATTTGGGTCTCTGGGCGCATCAGATTATTATGTTTACTCCCACACGATTTTGCCCGATGTTTACTTGAACACAAATAAATCCTTTGCGATCTAGCCAACTAATGACCGTAAAAAAAAGATCCGAATTGTTCGAATTAAAGTCGTGTGGAACTATAAAACATGTAAAACCTCATCCACTCATCTCACATGTACATACATCAAGTAATTTGGTGACGCACAAAGAGTTTCGACCTATCCAGACCATGCATTTCATTCAACTAGAGAATTTTTTAGAAACAGCGATGTCAGTTTTGTGTCATACTACTTGCGCTACCTCTCTTTCCGCTGAGGCTTATACGGAGATTATTTGGCCTCTGTGATTTACGAGAATCTTTCGGCAGTACGCCAGTTCATGCTTTTTTGTCAAGATGCCTCCCTTAAACCTGGTGCTTGTTAGATCCAGGGGCTTCCTTTTTTTAAAACACCTATTGAATTATCATAGAGTTCATCATACTGTCCACCCGTTGCCATGGTATATATATACATATATATATATATACTCATGACTGTTCTTGCTTTCCAACTTCCTCGCTGACGCCAGTCTCTGACTCATCATGAGTAGCCCTGTTTTCATATTATTGCAATAGCTGATGATTTTAATCATTTACAACTGTGAATTGTTGTGCTGGTTTAAAGTGGTCTTCCCTTTATTCTTTTCGACAAAGAATGTGCGGAGAATAAAACAGCGAATCGCCTGATGTGGCTTTTTTATCCGCGCCACAGTAGTGGACTAAATCCACCAAGAAAATACTTGTAAAATTTTCGGGAAAGTCCTTGATCATTTAACACTGAGACGTACTCCATACCACTTGAAGCAAGTACGAGGACTAGGATACTACTATGTTGAGTAAGTTTAGACTGAAGAAGTCAAGATGAAGAGGTTGGGTTCGAACCACGGACCCCCCGGTCAGTAAATTCAAGCTCTATCCACTAAGTCATCTCGCCCCAGTATTAGGACAGAGATGGCAAGTAAACATGTACTCTGCAGAGGATGGAGGTGAGAAACTTGACTGGCTGGGGTTGGAAGGTGAAATTTCAGCCAAACTCTTGTTAAAGTCAGGGTTTGAGTTTTTCAGATGCCAAGAGATATTTCGGACAGGACTGGTATTCGAATTTTCAGCAATTCACCTACTCCAATTACAAAAGAAACTTTATTGAATATTTTCGGGATGGTCTGTGTACTGTCACTTGAGCCTCCAGTTCCGGAAAATTCATCACATACGAGTTTAAAAACATACCGGATTGTTTGAGTAAAAATCAAGCGCGAGCCCTTGAATATCGGTCAGCAAGTTCAACCTGATAATCGGTAACATGACCGTCGAATTCTAAAGGTAATGAACTTCGTTCGCCTACCCCTAGATTTATTTCTACCCTATCACTGGCTCAACGTAAATGTGTTTGTTATTCGCGCACACACAAAGCAAATAGTCAGGGTTTCAGGACACGGCTTAATTGGCTCACCTTAGATTGTCGATTGTGGAGAAGGGTCACAAAACGTTTAGCCATTTTTGAATGGATGAGTATGGCTTCTCTATGTCTCCTGGTTGAAAACTATTCTGTTATAGTGTAATCAGCTGGGTGGGGACTTCCGGAGTGAACCGTTCCCAATAACTTTGATGATGCTTCTTATATTCGTCGAGACAACGGAGTAGAAGAATTCACTGTTCGTAGGCTAGGTCAGACGCTACGGGCAGGATAGCTTTCATACGAATGGTTAATACTATGGTAGACATCTCATCAGTTTTGACAAAGTTTTTTCGTAAAAGTAAAACATCTCCGAAATCGCTACGTTTGTCCTCGTCAATTTTTTCTGATTTCTGTCTTTGGTTGT